CAGGTCTGCCATATTTATTACGTGATCATTCATAGGGTGACAACTCTTTAATTAGATTATTAAATTTACATAGCACACATTAGTTATGTAATTCACTTAAGCTTCTAAGATCCTCCTCAATTATTTCGGATGCAAGTTTCATCCTTTGTAGATTATTCTTACTTCGATTTGAATACCAAATAACATAGCCATGGGTCAAAATAATCAAAATCGTACTATTTAATAAGAGAGACATGAACATCGATACCAACATACCTGGATTGACTTAAATTTCGAAATGAAAATTATTTTTCAGAAAGACGATGCGCTATAATATAGTAGTAGTATAGTATAGTATAGTAAGTGTTTCAGAATATGTTCATTACAATTGCGTTAGTTGTTTATTCATACATTAATTAATTAATTAATTAATTCAGTCATGCATTCATTTATTTGAATAAATAATCCATTATTTAATTAATCATTCAATCATATCCTTCATTGTTTATTCACATTCTTTCGTTCACTCATATATACATTTTTTATCTATTCATCTTTATTTATCCATTTATTCATTTGTTAATTAACTTATTATGTCAGTCGGTTAGTTGTTTTAGTCATTAAAGTGATTTGTATTTTTTCAGTCTTTAATTTGTTTTTCATTTACTCATCCATTCATTATCTACTCACTCACTCATTTAGCCATTCATTAATCCAATTATTCATTTAATGAGCCATTTATTAATTACCATGCTTGTTCATTTATCTATTCAGATCATTTGTTATTCATTCATTCAATCAATCGTTTATTATATCGTTCATTCATCCATTCTGATCTTTCCATTAATCCATCCATCTATCTTCTATCTGTGCATTAATCCATTAATCCATGTGTTCATTAATCCATGTGTTCATTAAGTCATTCATTCCTTCCTTCATTCATTCATTCATTCATTCATTTATTCATTCATTCATTTATTCATTCATTCATTTATTCATTCATTCATTCATTTATTAGCCTCCACAAAGGAGCGAAGCTCCGGGGAGGCTATTGTTTTTGCTTATGTTCTTCATGTTGTCGTTGTCGTCGTCGTCGTCGTTGTTGTCGTCGTTGTGGTTGTCATTGTCGCTGTCGTTGTTGGTCATTTGTTTGTGACCACGATAACTAAGTTTGGAAAGTCCAATTAGTTTAAAACTTGGCAGAATGCAAGATGGTAATGAAAAGACTGAGCCATTCATTCATTCATTCATTCATTCATTCAAGACAGTCAGTCATTCAATTATTTATCCATTCATTCAACTATTCGTTGATCCATTAAATAATTCATCATTATTTCAGTCAGTCAGTTATTACAGTAGGGCTTATATTCAATTCATTGTTAAGTAGGCCTTATAGTCAATTCTGTGTTCAGCTACTCTTCAAATATATGATTTTAAAT